CCGCCGCACCACCGCCTGAGCGGTGCCGCTGCTGTCGCGCCGCTTGTTTGCCCCGCCGCCGCTGCCGCCGCCACCACCACCGTCGTTGTTGCTGCCGCCGCCGCTCTTGTTGCCCCGCACCACCGCCTGCATCACGCTGACGACGGAAGGGTCCTGCAGCAGATAGCCTTCGAAGGGGAAAACATCAATCTTCGCCTTGAGTGACATCCGCCGTTGCTTTACACGCCGCCCCCTTCTCTCCCACGCACAAACACGACCGGAGACAGAACAAAACGAAGGCAATGAGACTGTGGCCAACAGCAGACATGCGGGAGCGAAATAATAATAAATTTTTTTTAAAAAAAAAGCAGCAACGAATATCGAATGAAAGCGTTCGGCAGAAACACTACAAAGTGGACATTGCACAACAGGTAGCGCATGTCCGATCAATCAATAACATACACACAAACACGCACACACACACACACACACACTATCGAACAGCTGCTCCAAACATGTTCCTCCACTTTGGTCATGCCTTCCTTTCCTCTCTCCCTCTCCATCTGCCACTGTGTTCGAATTGAAAGGGGGCCCCGAGAGCCCCGTCATTCACACAAACCAGAAAAGGGGACACACATCAACTCAGTTTCCTTCACACGTCTCCATTTTCTTCCAACATTTGCTATTGCGACTCTTCCTCATTTCTTCAAAAGCTTCCGGAAGTAGTTCATGCCCGTCAGCTGCGGCGCCTTGGACGCATTCCCGGTCCGGCGCAAGGCGATCTCGTCCACTTGCTTCGACAGGTCAATCGTCTCCGCCACACGGTTGACGCCAACTAGCCGTATCTTTATGACACATTCGAAGGGGATATCGATCTCGTACGCGTTCTGTGGTGCGACAAAATTGTCTTCCTCCGGCACAAAGTATGAGTAGAGACCCTGCAGAAGCTGAAGATGCGACACGACGAGGACGGGATCGGCGCTGGCCTGGATGTCATGGATGTGCGGCTCAAGGCGTGCGTTGAACATCTGGTGCGTACACTCACCATTTGGCCACGCCGTGTAGTAAGGGTCGGCCTGCATTTGCTTCAATGTGCTCGGCATCGTCTTGCGCACATCGGAGAGAAGCTGCCCGTCACAGTCTCCGTGGTTGATGTTGTCGAGTGTGGGGAGGTACGCTACACGGCAGTTCAGCGCTGGCCCCTCACCCTCCGCCGTCTCTGAAGAGGCGTCTTGTTGCTGCGGCACGCCCCGCTCCTCAAAGAGCTGCACTGTCTCCGTGCAGCGAAGGGCACAGCTACTCATAATAATAAATGGATTCATCTGCAGCTCCTTCTGGAAGTAATTGAAGAGTGCCTCGCTGTACGCTTTGCCACGCTCTGTCAAGTGCGAGTTACCGCCGATACGGCCGGCAACCAAGTCAACATATTCTCCTGCGCGCGTGAGGTAGAGGTTGGCAGGTGCGTGACTTAGATTGTGCAACAAGTACGCCAGCCGAGACGGCATCCAGCCAAAAACATTGTTAAGCGAGTAAATAGTTTGTTCTCCAACACAGATATACGTAAGGTCCGTGTCGTCATCTGGGTTTAGCGACCTGTACGTCTCCTTTTGCTGTTCTATCCTAGCGTAGAATTCCTCAACGAAGGTGTCTGGGGTGTCTGGGTACATTTCCTTCATACGATTCACGTTCTGCTGCACCTGCTCAGCATCATTATTAATCACTTCCACAAAGACAACACGGTTCGGTCGGATGAGGCCTGTCTCCTGGATAGCGTGTATCAGCGCAAGGCGGCGCAACGGTGCGCAGTTCGTGCCATCCATTACCGCCACACTGTCTGTTTGCGCAATGTACTGCACCATATCGTGCGCAATGTCAGTTGCCACACGGGACTCCAATTCCGGCTCCATCAAAGTACTGTACGGAATGTCACCTGGTACAAGTTTGCGCCTATAATCTGAATACGTAAAGATTTTGCTCTGAAGACCGTTCCACTGAAAATAACGCTGGATCTGTCGTGCAATATACGTTTTGCCACGACCAGAGAGTCCCACCATGATGACAATGAGACTCCCCATCATTGGCTGTGGTAACTGCGAAAAGTCGGGGTGGTAGGGTGTGAAGGGACTATCCATCGAAAATACATCAGCCCTGCCGCCGAGATCCACCTCATGCCGGGCAGTGCTGTGGGCAAGAAGCAGCTGCACCACCTCACTCCGGTCGTTCTCCTCCGCCAGCTGCAGAGCGGTCTTGTCATCATTGTCAGTTAATGTATCGTCGGCACCAAAGCTGAGCAACAGACGAACCACCTGCACGTGCCCTTGCGCGCTGGCAATGTGAAGTGGTGTCCTCTCGTCATAGTCCCTGGAGTCGCAGTCAGCGCCGCAATTGAGAAGAATCCGCACACCGACAGTGTCTCCTGATGCAGCTAGTTGGCAGAGTTCAACCGAGAGCATGTGTACAACGGGAGCTTCCACATCATCCCCCACGTCCGATGTTAGCGGTGCATCGGTGACGCTTTCCGCGGCCCGCAGTGACCTCAGGCGACTATCAATTTGAGCAATCTCCTCCTGGATGGACGCCATTTTCTCAAACATGGTCGGTTTTAGTTGTGAATCGCCGCTCGTGGAAGAGCATAACGGCACCGACGTCGAAGACATTGAGCGAGTGCTGCAGAGAGCGACAGGCTGTATAAGGCTTCCGCTTCTATATGGCGTAGCACCTCTTCATCAAGAGAACAATGCCCACAAACACCAATACCAATAATAATAATAAT